GAACAGGTCATGCTTGAAAACCCACACGTCATTGAGTTAAAGCAGTTCTGCATGGAAGAGTGGGCCAAAATTCCTCCACAGCGACGTGAGAGACTGATCAACAACTACAGGAAGCATTTGGTTGGAGTCATTGTAGCTAAAGGTGGCACAACCAGTTATTGAGTGTAAGGGGGCAATTACTTTTTCACACAGGGGAATTGGGTGTTGCATAACTTTGTTTATGAAATAAATATGTAATTGTTGTGTTATTTGTTCATTTATGTTCCCTTTATCTAATATTAGGTTTTGGTTGAAGATCTGATAACATTCAGTATCACAAATATGCAAAAGTAGAGAAAATTAGAAAGGGGGCAAATACTTTTTCATAGCACTGTATAATATGTTTCTAAACACATTAATGTGGATGCTACCATGATTACGAATAATCATGAATAATGATGAGTGAGAAAGTTACAGAGGGTCAAAGATCATGCCCCCAAGACATGCTAATCTCTCACCATTACCAATAACAGGGGAGATTAGCATGTTTTGGTGGTACGATTTTTGACCCTCTGTAACTTTCTCACTCATTTACGATTAATTCAGGATTATCCATAATCATGGAAGCATCCACATTAATGTAAAAGTGTTTAGAAACATATTATATTCTTATTTACAATAAAAGTGACTCAAAAATGACACACTAATGTATTGTGTCATTTGAGTCACTTTTATTGTAAATAAGAATAGAATATGTTTACCATTCATTTCTATTGGGCAGAAAATAATCTGAATCAACCAAAACAAACTGCAAATGCATGCTAGTTTGTAGTCACACCTTGGATGTAGTCATTGCATGCCAGGAATATGGGACCAAATACTAAACCTTTGACTACTTTATTTGTACGAATCTTTAGGGGTGTCCATAGCTGCGGGAAGATGTTTGGGGGTGGGGGTGCTTTGTTGCCCGCACTACAGTCGGCTATATCGGTCCGCTAATACAGGACTTTATTGATATTGTTTTTTAATCTACCCCCTGAAAAATTATAAAATTGTTTTTTAATTCTGATTTTCAGGGAGTGCTGCAGCACCCTCAGCACCCCTACTTCCTGCAGCTATGGGGGTGGACATTTTTTTGGGTGAAAAAATATATTACTTGTTAAACAAAATCTCTTTCTCTGAGCAATTGTATTAGTATAAGATAATGTAATTAAAAAAATTTTTGCTCAGTATTTGAATTATTTATATAGTCATTATTGCTGAAGGGTGTCAAGTGTGTTAATCTGGTTTAATGACCTGTTAAATTCCCCTCCAATTCAGAGTCACCACAAAGACACCCATCAATCAAAAATACTCTTTACCAGTGAATTAATGTAAGAAAACACCTGTTGCGTGTTCACCGTTCATGGCGTGTTAGGTTTTGCTAGACTGACTATGAATATTTTGTGAAATCTAACTCAGACTGACAGGTTTCTGATGAACCATGGCTGCCTCGCCTTACACCTAATAGTCTTGGGCAATTCCATGCCAGCATGGCTCGAAAATATTTTGTGTATCTCAAATTGTTCTGACAATTCTCACATAGAAACCTCATTGGTAGAAAGCATGTTTGATATGCTTTTTACATTTGCAACACAAACCGTTTTTGAGAAAATCATGATGAAAGTGGCCATTTTAGGCCTTTTTAGTAAGACCCAATGATCCGTGAACCCTACATGATACAGACAACACCTTGCCCACTGGGCACAGATGTCACTTCAATGTCTAGTTTTCATTTACATTTGGTTGAGTTGTCAACTAACGTGAATTCAACAAAGATGTTTACCTTGTCATTGGATTTAGGTTAAAAAAAAGGAGACTGGAGCCACTTTAATGTGTTCAATGAAGAAGGTCCTGATGGCATTCCATTGAAGCGTGACGTTGTGGTCTGACCCCTTCCCACCTACAGACAGGAACAAGGGAGAAGGAATTATTGAGTAAACAGGAAGTTGGCACACATAACATCCCGTTCCCCACAACAACTGCTCCACCCTTTCTTCACCATGATGTGTTTATATCAGCTAGTGAGCTAGTTTGTCACTGGTATTCTAAAAACGGAGTGACCAACTGTTTTACTTCCTGACTGCAAAACTGGCAGGCATAAATTAAGTAACAGAAGTTTATGCATTGCTGGATAGTGAACAATGCCGAAAAAGCCTTTGTGCAAAGAACTTCAATAAGTAATCAAAGAACTCTAATGTAGTGGAAAAATTGAAAAGCCTTTGTCTACGGCTTATACTGGAAAGAATAAAAAAATACTGACTAATTCTGAAGCTTACTGACTGGCTAAATGGTCATATATTGTATGGCTAGTTAAGAGGCATGCTAATTGACTTACTGTTGTCACGATCGTTTACACACGGGACGGACCAAGGCGCAGCATGATATGCATACATGTTTATTTATACTGAATAAACACCACGACAAAACAACAAACAAAACGTGAAGTCCAAGGTAGACAAACAACACACCTCACACGGAACAAGATCCCACAACCCACTAGTGCCAATAGGCTGCCTAAGTATGGTCCCCAATCAGAGACAATGAGCGACAGCTGCCTCTGATTGGGAACCACACCGGCCAACATAGATCTAGACATACTAGAATATCAACATAGAAATATACAACATAGAACATACACACCCTGACTCAACATATACGAGTCCCCTGAGTCAGGGCGTGACAACTGTCTAGCTTACATCATCTCTGCTCGACAACGTGACAAACCTATGTCTCTCATTCCGTTTTGAGGTGTTTTTGTTCTGGTCATAGGTGTGCAGTGGGGTTCTCCCACTCTGAGCGCAAAGATCATGAGAGGAAACACAAACACTCTGAGGAGAGAGAGAGATCACTCATGCAAACACCCTGAAAGGAGAGGAGAGACCACCTGAGAAAGAGAAAGAATGGGAGTAGTGGCTCAGCTTACTGTAACTATGCTGTTGACTGAAAGGGTGGTTTAATGTCGGGGGAGGTTCATCATCACAATGTGTTTCATCTTCATCAGGTGTTGCAGTACTCAGTCAGTCATCAACACATGGAGCCAATTCCCGTAAATCAGCAGCGTGGTCTTTTATCAACATTTCAAACTACGTTCTGGTATGATGTAATTATAGAAATCATATTGAATTCAATTATGATTACACACTATATGCGTATGTTGAAAGGTGATAACAATAGCTTGACAGATTTTCAAGAGCGCTGAATATCCAAAAACGTGACATCTTCTCAGAAGACATAATCCACATTCAATGTTGCAATCATTATTAGTACATTAGGTATAGTCTGATGGTAAGTGATGCTGATTCTAGTGAACATCAGTGCATACTCTCAGTTCCTCTATTTTCTAAGAAAGTGAACTCAAGAGTTTTGAGTGAGCGGTCGTGTGGGACTTTCTAGAGTTGGGTTATGAGTAAGAGAGGGTGAGAGGGTGAGAGTATGTGGGGGATTTGTGAGGGGGTGTCTGTCTCTGTGTGCGTTCATGTGAATGTGCAAATACAAGCATATTGAATTTTTGAAGAGAGAAAATAGAAAACTCAAAACTCATCCAATTTTGAAAAACAATATGTTTAATGTGCTACATTTATTATAAAAATATCATAAAAATAATCTCTGACATAAAGTATACACATATAATAACCTTGGTCAAAAAATTAACTACATAGACAAACATACTGTATAAAAACTACAAATGTGTATACAAAAAAAAAGAAATTCACACAGTATTAATGTTAGAACAGTTCCACCATTTTGGTTTTAGGTAACAGAAACCTTGGTGCACATGGAACTAGTTCCGGCTTTTTCCAGTACTAGTGAAAATTTACAGCTCTCGTATGAGGTACTTTTGTCAATAGTTTTGGTAAAATAACAAGAGTCTAGAGCCATTCACTTGAGCATATACAGTAGTACTAGGAGCAGACTGAGGAAAGGGGCAAGTGCAGTACAGACTACATTTGGTTCTGGCTCACATACTGTATGATTCATGCTCTGATTTGGATGACACTCGCATCTACCATCAGTATAGAGGAAAAATGAAATGAAGCTTTATCGACAGTGGGTAGATAACTGAATCAAAGAGAAAGAGCTAGAAACACAATGGTATTTCAGGATATATTCAAACAGGAACACAATGCAAAAAAAAAAAAAAACGAACTGTTAAATATGTCTTACAAATTCAAATACAAATGCACTGTCTTAAAATGTTTTAACATACAAAAAATAGAGAAACAACGTTTTTCTTTTTATTGCTAGTTTCTGTGCAGAAGTATGTACCTCCAATACATCACTAAATGACTCACAGGAAGTCCTGAGAAGCTATTTGCATCGAACTGGAACATTATAACATTCTGACTACTTTTGGTTTGCTTTCCTCTCTTGTTACATTACATTAGAATACACTTAAGTTTTAAAAGTTATGCTACATAAGTTAGACCCGTTTATCCTCATATTTTATTTGATTCTTGTTGTTTTTTGGCAAATGCAAATACATACACATAGTTTCAAGATCCCTGATCTACCCTTTTAGCAAAAATAAATAAATACACACAAAGATTGTCCACTAATAAATCATGAGATATCGCAGTAATAGTTCCTGGCATAGGTCCAACAGTTTTCCAAAGAGTAAGCCTCCTTGGAAGTGTCCAGACATGTAACATTACGCTATCAAATAAAATAATCACTCAACTGAACAAATATAGCTGACAAACTCACTCACACATTCCATGTAAATTACACCTGTGAAACCTGAGTGAAAACAGTTGTGAGTACTTAACAACTAATAAGAAAACACCCTTAGTTAGGGTGGAAGTGCAATCACTGAACAGTATGTGGCCATGTCTTTGGAATGGTCTTTGTTTTGGTGCAACTCTCTTATTGGCTTTTTTTTTGTTACGACTTTATCGATTGTGCTCTGGCTTTTCAGGAGGTAGACCCTTAAAATGTATCTTGTTCCCTACCCCTCCCCACAAGGGTCCTTCCACTTCGCCCTACTGCCCTTGCATCTTCACCATTGGCCGGTTGTAGAGGTGTACCACACTAGCCCGCTCCTGATAGGCTGAAGTAGAGCTGTGAGATGACGTGATGGGAGGAGCTGGGGTGTTAATGGCCGCCGTGAGGGCCTTGAGCAGCAGGGTGGCTTCACTCTGGTCCTCCTTGCACTCTCGCCCTTCCATGCTCCGGGCCACCCAGCGCTCCACTGCAGCTTCTACATGGGCTGGCCCTGCCCCTTCAGACAGAGTGTCCGCCTCGGGGCTGGTGTCGAAGCGCTCGACCAGCTCGCGGATGTGGGCGTGGGAATGGGGGTTGGCGTGGGCCTGGGAGGAAGCAGGGCAGCAGCTGCGTTGGTGGACGCACAGCGAGAAGCGATGGAGGAAGGCGCGGGCGCAGAGCGGGCAGTGGTAGGTGCGGTCGCGGGTGCAGTGCAGGCGTCGGTGCAACTTGAGGTGGATGTACTGGGTAAACTTGGTGCTGCACAGCTTGCACTGGTAGGGCTTCTCACCCGAGTGGAGCCGCAGGTGGGTCTTGAGGTTGCTGGTGCTGCTGAAGCGCTTGTGACACACCTATATGAATAGGAACAGATAGATAGGAAAGTTTAGGTTAGGATGATGTTGTGATGCTGATATCATTAGAACAACTAGGTGAGACCAGGCTCCTGGGTTTCTATTGTCCCCCAGCCAGACAGGGCCTTCCCTGGTTGCGTGCTAGCAGGGTATGACCCTACACTCTTAGAAAAAAAGGTGCTACAACCCCATAGGATAATCCTTTGAAGAACCCAGGTTGGTTCCAGGTAGAACCCTTTTGGATCCAGGTAGAACCCTATTGGGTTCCATGTAGAACACTTTCCCCAGAGGATTCTACATGGAACCCAAAAGAGTTCAGCCTGGAACCATTTACATTTTACATTTTAGTCATTTAGCAGACGCTCTTATCCAGAGCGACTTACAGTTAGTGAATACATATTTTTTTATACTGGCCCCCCGTGGGAATCGAACCCACAACCCTGGCGTTGCAAACGCCATGTTCTATCAACTGAGCTACATCCCTGCCAGCCATTCCCTCCCCTACCCTGGACGACGCTGGGTCAATTGTGCGCCGCCCATGAGTCTCCCGGTCGCGGCCGGCTGCGACAGAACCTAAAAGGGTTATCCTATGGGGACAGCCGATGAACTCTTTTGGAACCCTTTTTTTCTATAAGTGTAGACTGCTTCTTTTCAGTGGGAGATCACTGAACCCTACCGTGAAAATCAACATAGGACTGACGTCATGATCACACCCACATAGTTGCACTATAGTGTTCAACAAAAGCCCAGGGATTCCTTACATCACAGGGGCATGACAGGTTGAAAGTCATACAGGCATGCAGGGGTGTGTGTGTGTGCTTTAGAGGTCAAGTAGACTGGAACAAGCAGATCAAAACACAAACATACTGTGCACTCGTGTGGTTTCTCTCCTGTGTGGACCAGGTGGTGCTTCTGCAGGTGGGCTAGCTGGCTGAAGCTCTTCTTGCAGAGGTGACATTGGAAGGGCTTCTCTCCACTGTGAACTCTCAGATGCACCTAAAAGAAAAATGCCTAGATTAGATAGGAACCCACAATAAGACAGGAATCGATTGGGCCACCAAAGAAACCAAAAGGACCACCTATGTCTATAAGATCCTCACCTTGAGGTTGGACAGCTGTCCGAAAGTCTTGATGCAGACGTTGCATTCGTACTTGATCTTGCCGTTCTGTTTCTTCAGGGGGTAGGGTAGGGATTTGTACCCAGGGGCAGCAGGTGGCGAGGGGCTGCTCTTTGGCATGGCCAGGCTGAGGTTCATGGCCTCCTCACAGCCACAGGGTGACTGCAGGGGCGTCTGGTGCTCCTGCTTGGGAAGGGGAGAGAGCTCTGGGGTGGCTGGGGCCCCACAAGGAGGTGACATATTTGGGGTCCTCTCCTTCAGCCCTCCCTGAGTAGCTCCGGGGTAGGGCAAAGACACTGGGAGCAGACCAGGCTGGTGGGCCATGGAGGGGTATGGAAGTCCATCGCTACTCAGGTAGCTGCTGTACCGCAGAGGGTCTCTGGAGGGGAGCATCCCAGGGAAGGGTGGGGAGTACTGGGGGAGGAGGAGATGGGGGTAGTGGGGGCTGCTGTATGGGGGGATAAGCTGGTAGGGGGTTTGAAGGGGTCTGGAGGGGTGGTAGAGGGGGTAGGAGGACACTAGGCCCTCTCTGTGGCCGTAGAGTCCGTGGAGGTGGAGGGGGAGGTTGCGGTGCGGGGAGGGGGCAGTAGGGTGGCGCTCAGGGAAGCCGTAGACATGAGATCCCAGGTTGGGCTCTCTCTGGTCAGGTTGAGGAGAGGGGATGGGTCCCTGGTGGTCCTGGGTCACCTTCTCATTCTCTATCTTCTGGCTGAAGTCCATGATTTGGTCGTCTGGCGTGTCGGGTGGAGTGTCTCTTTCCAGCACCTCCACGTCAATTCTCTCCTCCCTTTCATCCTCACTCTCGTCTTTCATTTCCTCCTTCTCTTTCAGGAGCCAGGTCTGCTGTTGTTTGGTGAACTCGGATTCTCTGACATCTCTGCTTACGTGTTCTATGGAAGAAGAAAAAACACAAGGTCAGACATAGTGGTACAAGTCAAATACAGTGGGTTGGGTTTGAGTGTGTATGAAATACACTGTAAAAACAATTGTCAACCTATCCAATCCACACAATAATACAACTTCAATCCGTCCTTTGTGTAGACCTAATGTGCCATTATTCACTTATCACTCTATAATAGGACAGTATTGATTGACAAATGACAAAGTTCAGTCTTAACGAAGTGAGAAGTGACTAATGACACACCACACTCACACTCGAGCTCTCACATCCTCCCTAGCACTCCCTCTTATGGTAAATGATGATGATGGTTTCAGTTTTTAGATGAAACTTCAAAGAGATCTAGGTTTCTGTCTGGCACTATGATAGCAATGTTTTCATTTTGATGTGTGGGTGTGTGTGGGTATGTGTCATGTAGGAATGATAGTAAAACAAAGAGCTTTAATCTTTGGGACGTTTCTGTCGCAAGGTGTCAATTACCACACAAGCGTCTTTCTCAGAACCGCAGGAAGAAATACATTTGGAAATGTGGCCGCAGGCTACTGCCGTTTAGTTAGCTTGTCTGAAGTCCTACTAATGATGTATGTGAATAGCTGTGTACCTTAACTGACACATTACTAACTGTTTAACAGGAATTGCCTTACAACCAGGATTAAAGAGAAAGACAAACCCCTGTAGGCTACAAAAGTGCATTAAACCGTGCATTAATACAAAGCTTAGGCATTAACTTTCCACTTTCACCTGTTCAGTGCCAACCTGGTCATTGAAAAAATGTTAAGCCATTTAATTAGGCCTATAAATTGGTCATTTTAAACCAAATGTGTTTGAATAGACTATTTAAGCTACTTTTATCATATATTGTTTTGTTTAATTTTAGAGGGCTAGCCTATTTACTATAGTCTTTATCAGGGGTTTCGCCAAGTGTGTGGAGTATACTGTAAAAAGGACTGTGTCAATGCAGTTGTCATTGTAGCCTAGTCAACATTAGTCAACAGGTTGAATGACTGTGTAATGTAATTATAGTTTAAGGTCTACTTACAGAGTTTCTGGCAACAAAACTATTTGTCATGTAATGAATGGACAACTTGCCATACCTGAATTTACAGCTGACTATGACTCATGGACTTTACTTGACCAGGCATTGTTGAGATGACTTTCCTACATCCTTTGAGATTGTCCCTATGTTGTGTAAAGAAGAGTGAGTGTGTTTGTGTGTGTGGGTGAGCTGTCTTCTACATTAGAGCAGGTGCAGCCGTGTATTGTGTCTGTCAGTAAATCTCTCTCCCAACTCAGGATGTATTCCATAACAATGCCACCCGCTCCAAAAAGTGAATAAGACAGGAAACCGTTTCCGTCACACTCAGTCTCATTGTCTACCATCTAATAAACTCGGATCTTATCAATTGAAGACAACAATGATGAAAGTCTGTGATCAGACAAAAATGGCTCACCTTTGTGTCATCCTATCGAGCAGACACACACACAGATTGAAATCCCCTTTTTATCTGATATAGGTATGAAAAGAACATGCACACCTGACTGTCTTTTACTACATTGCCCTCTCACCCACTAACAGTTTGTCATTGAGTGTCATAACATAGAATAGTGTTTTATTGTAGAGCCACAGAAAAGAGAGAGTTAGAGAGTAGATGGAAGAAGCAATTAAAGGAGAGCATAGAGAGAAAAATGAGTACAGAGAAGAGTAGAGGATGTGGAAGATGAGGGAGAGGGTAGAGGAGAAAGAAATACGGAGCGGAGTTGAGGAGAGTGAACAGATGAGAGGAGGGCAAAATAATCGAATATGGTACTCACTTTGTTTGAGCTCGTCTCCTGGTTGGCTGCACAGTCTCTGGGCGAACTCTTGGCTGTACCACACCAGCAGCTCCTGCCTGGGCTCCACGGGCTTGATGGTGTAGAAGTAGACGTCGGGTCCATTCTGGCACGCCACCAGGTTCTGTTCGGACAGCGAGTGCGCCGGGTTGACGTAGCGCATCCAGTTGCTGCGCTGCAAGTCATAGCCGTCGATGAAGTGGTGTTGCTGCCCGCCGTTATAGATCTGAGAGGGAAAAGAGGGGAGAGTGTGATAAGAATACAATATAATACAATCCAATAAAGGAATAGAACACACACACACACACTTGTATTTAAACGTAGTGTAACATCAGTTTGTACACAACTTTGTAACTGACTGATCTCTACTGTACTGTTACATTCACTCATGACTGAGATATTCACTGTAGCAGTTGAGCTGTTGAGCTGACAGCCATTGACAGCAGTTATCACAGTATATAGATAGAAAGCATAGTTCACCTCTGCCATGTACAGAATAGTCTCCTATATCCTCTTCTAATGATCTGGTTATTGTTCCACTTGTGTTGTGTCTTGAGTGTGTGTCCTGCGCACTGTGTGTGTTCCTGAACTACTGTCACTGTCTGGTGTGAAATCAGCGCTGTCACTGCTTTTATCAGCTGCTGAGTTACACTGACTGAGAGGGGGCGTGGCAAAGAGGGGGCGGGTCAAAGAGTTTGAACGCATGCCCAGACAAACATGTTTTTTTTTCTCTTTCTGTTTCTCTCACACTCTGGTTGGGGGTTTCTCTCAACTTGCCCAGACTTGAATGGCTGCTTCCCACCAGGAGATACAGCACATCATAAAATTGTCAACCCTAGACATTTCCATTACATTTCCTCACTTGTCAAGTTGTCAGTAATTTATTAAATATAGGGTGCACTTTAATTGTTTTTACTGACATCTCTTGAGGAAATGTAAGAGGAGTTGTGTTGGCAGATACACGAACACACAAAAATAGATGGTGGCACGTGCTCACAGGCACACACACACGTCACACACATCCACACCTGTCTCGTGAGAGAGTGTTGACATACTCTCGAGGCGAGTCAGACTTTCACCAATTTGCAGTAATAGGACGGGACGGATCTGGTTTACAGGAAATGCCAGAAGGAAGGTGAAAAACGTAGGACAGAAAGCCCACAACGGGGAAACAACTCAGAGAAAACTCCTGAATGAGTCAAGTCACCGCTGGGAGACAGAGAGAGGATGAGGGTATGTGGGAATGAGAAGGAAGTGTATGAGAGAAAGAGAGGGGAACACTAACAATCATTTCCTATTTGTCACACTTGTTGAATGGGACTTGAGCACTGGGAAAGCAGTTAGTATAACTGTGATGAATGCAATTGTTGCGTGCGTGTAAAGATCCACAACTTCCTCAAAAATCTGTCAAAAACCCCTGAATACCTCTAGGCTTCTGTGCAAAGCATTTTTCTTTCCTTTTAGATGGGAAGTGACTGACTTGGTGTGAAACTGATTTACCACTTTTGCTTCTTTTTCTACTAATAATTGGAGAAGAAAACTAGGACGAATTTGCGGTCAAATCTCTTTTCCCGTCTCTTTCGAGAAACAGTTCCCATAGCTGGTTGTTAGGTAAGGCATTGAGATTTTTCCCCTAGAACCCACAGTATCATTTTATTCACCTGCTTTCATGAATGTATTTACCAACCAGCTCTCACATTCTCACGTCAGAATTAGACATTCAACGTCAAATTTCGAAGTGTTTAAGGTTAAGTTTAGGCATTAACTCAGCATTTTGAAGGTTAGGGTTAAGTTCAGGCATTGACTCCAAATTTTGAAGGTTAGGCATTAACTCTGAATGGTTAAGGTAAGGGTTAAGGTTTGGGATAGGTTTAAAACATTTTTTTGCTGGATTCGCACTTGCAACCTTTGGAATCAGAGGCAGAGGCTTATGCCCATTCGCCAGCCCTGTCCACAACGCATTAGCAAAACCGAAACCTACTTGAATGTAACAGCACTCATTGTTGCCCCTTGTGGCTGGTTTCCACGTCATCTCCTGACGTCTTCAGACATGGATGGACGTTGAATACTGACTTGTATCACGGGTGACCTGGCTGGTATTTACAGTATGTCTTCATATACAACTCCAGCTGACTGAGAGCAAGTTATAACTATTTTTGGTAATCCTGGTTCCTTTGAGTATGCCAAATCTAATTTGTGGCTGCCAAAATCCTGTTAGGATAAGATAGGAAGAACTATGAACCTGAATGAAGAGGACAATTGGACCATGGTCAAACAAACCGTGTGTGTGCGTGTGAACTTGAACGGTTATTCCGCCAACTCACCCTCCAGAAGTATTTCCTGTTGGCCTGTTTGGGGACGTTGTCTTTGGTGTAGATTTCACCCTGCAGAGGCCCGAACCGAGTCCCCTGAGGAATGTACTCTTTGCTGAACACGCCTGTCACCTAAACACAAGACAATAAATCATCAGTCACTAATCCATGCTATGGGAGTCAAACAGTTAGCCTGAGAACCAGATCTTAAGACAGCACAAACAGATCTGGGACCCATGCTATCAAACATTAGTCAGTCAAACAGTGCCAGTTCCTTAAGACAGCCTTGACCATAGAAATAAAGTTACTAGAAGCATGAGGGTGCAGTTAATTTGCTGTGGCCTGAGGAACTTTTTCTGTTCTACCAATTGTATTTCTATGGCCTTGACATGCTGACCCAGACAGGAGCTCTTATCTTCTCTTCTGAGCTCCAAGGTGACCCGCTTTCTTACTCTTGCCTAATGAGTTAAATGAAAGAAGGGAATTACACTTTCTCTGACCTGCTTCTCTGACTTGCTGACTGTCCTCGACTGTCCTCGTAAACACCATTGACTTTGCTTGATCCGACAATGTGGTCGGAGGCACCGTATGGATGGTGTGACGCAATTGTGGTCCTCTGTAGCTCAGCTGGTAGAGCACGGCGCTTGTAACACCAAGGTAGTGGGTTCGATCCCCGGGACCACCCATACACAAAAATGTATGCACGCATGACTGTAAGTCGCTTTGGATAAAAGCGTCTGCTAAATGGCATATTATTATTATTATTATTAATTGCGGAGCCTCTGGAGCCATGCAGAGGCCAAATTGAGCTCTGTACTGCACCGCCGTGCGCCAACCAAATGTTTTAACAATGCGGAGGGGTCCGTATAGATCCGCATTGACAGTATATACACAAACTCACTTCCTTAACAACTTCCTTCACAACAGCTCTGCTCTGCTCAGCAAAGCTCAAGAAGTACAAATGCCCTGACTTCTGCAGAGGCCGTATCGCAGTAAACGCTCTACGGCCACTGCAGATGACGGATTGACCATACAGAGCCTTTTACAGGGACAGAGAGAGAACATAAGTCACCTGAGGCTAACTCAGCTCACCGCTTCCCCCGCTGGTGAGAATGACCACCAGTCTCTGTAGCCTGGACTTTTTTGGTACGTGTTTAATGTCTACACTCAGACTCAAGTTACACACTTATGTCTAGGCTTCCCATAAAATAAAGAAAAAAAACGCTTCCACATTTAACTCAAGAGCTGGGAAAAGGAAACAGGGAAATAACTACCATAGAACTCTCTCCCCTGAGCCCTGACGGCCGGGAATAGCAACCTGACTCATACTTCAATTGGGATTCTTTAGAAAGTACTGGAGGTTTGAATAAGGCACACGCCATCTCCAAATCAGTGGACACGCCCGCTTGGCAGGGAGCATCTGTGGGACGCACCCATAGCTTGGGGGTCTTAAGGGGCTTTGTCTTGAAGATCTGTTGAGTCCTGGCCAGGGGGTGACGGAGGGTGAGACGAGACTGAGTGTGACAGGGATATTGTGTGGCCCCGGTTTAGCGTGACTAATGAATGAGCTGCAACAGGGCTGCTGCTTAACGACCGCTCAACCAGGTTTATAAGAAGATGAGGAAGTGGGGAAGGAGGAGAAGAGTATCGTTCGCTTCTTGACTGGACCACGCCACCACGCTCCCTCCCACCTTCCCCCCTAACTGTCCCTGCTCAGAATAGGTCCTCTCGCAGCCTGGAAAGGCCCGTGACGATGCCTGCCCTGCGCCCCAAACGAAAGTTAATCGTTGGAGCTTAACCTACTTACCCACCTCCTCCCCCTCCTCCCGCTCTTGCCCCCCCCCCCTCTTGGCACACCCCACGCCCCATCTGCCACATGCGCCCTCGCACCCCCGGCACGCTTAGGGGTTACGAACAGCGGTGGAAGGAGGAGAGAAGGAGGAGAGGAAGGGGGGAGTGACCCCTCTTCTACTCTGACCAGCCAAATCCTTCCATTCATGGTCTTACAGCCTCAGCTGTTGACTGGGAGGTGTATTTATGTGTGAGTGTTTGTGTTACCCGTGTTGGCATTAATCCATACGGGTCTTTAAGGAATGGTCCACTCTTATGGGAAGGCTTTCCACTAGATGTTGGAACATTGCTGTGGGGACTTGCTTCCATTCAGCCACAAGAGCATTAGTGAGGTCGGGCACTGATGTTGGGCGATTAAGCCTGGCTCGCAGTCGGTGTTCCAATTCAGCCCAAAAGTGTGTCAAGTTCTTCCACACTCATCTCGACAAACCATTTCTGTATGGACCTCGCTTTGTGCATGGGGGCATTGTCATGCTGAAACAGGAAAGGGCCTTCCACAAACTGTTCCCACAAAGTTGAAAGTACAGAATTGTCTGGAATGTCATTGTATGCCGTAGCGTTAAGATTTCCCTTCACTGGAACTAAGGGGCCTATCCCGAACCATGAAAAACAGCCCCAGACCATTATTCCTCCTTCACCAAACATTACAGTTGGCACTATGCATTGGGGCTCGTAGCGTTCTCCTGGCATCCGTCAAACCCAGATTCGTCCGTCGGACTGCCAGATGGTGAGGCTTGATTCATCACTCCAGAGAACGCGTTTACACTGCCCCAGAGTTCAATGGCGGCAAGCTTTACACCACTCCAGCCGACGCTTGGCGTTGCGCATGGTGATCTTAGGCTTGTGTGTGGCTGCTTGGCTATGGAAACCCATATCAGCAAGCTCCCGACAAACAGTTATTGTGCTGACGTTGCTTCCAGAGGCAGTTTGGAACTCGGTAGTGAGTGTTGCAACCGAGGACAGGCGATTTTTATGCACTACACGCTTCAGCACTCGGCGGTCCCGTTCTGTGAGCTTGTGTGGCCTACTCCTTCGTGGCTGGGACGTTGTTGCTCCTAGTTTCCACTTCACAATAACAGCACTTACAGTCGACCGGGGCATCTCTAGCAGGGCAGAAATTTGACGAACTGACTTGTTGGAAAGGTGGCATCCTATGACGGTGACACGTTGAAAGTCACTAAGCTCTTCAGTAAGGCCTTTCTACTGCCAATGTTTGTCTATAGAGATTGCATGGCTGTGTGCTTGATTTTATAGACCTGTCAGCAACGGGTGTGGCTGAAATAGCCAAATCCACTAATTTGAAGAGGTGTCCACATACTTTTGTATGTATAGTTTACATTAGAACTCAAAGAGGAGCCAAAAAAATGTAATATGAAAATGAATTAGAATTTCTCTTTCTGTTGCTCAATAATGACTTGGTGAACAACTGAGAGAATCCCAGAATTGAAAAGTAGTACTTTTCCATAATTGGCAATCGCAATGACTAAACAATGACTAAACAATGACTGGTAACAAACAATGTCTGGCAAGGACTATTAAGTACATGTGAAGTCCCCATAGGTAGTTCATAGGTTTTATATTGTTTCATTTGTCATGTGTCTGTTTCCTGCTGACTGACACACCCATCTGGCACTGTGACCTTGACCTGGAAACACACACATAAAGGTAAGATGCCAAGACATAAAAAAACGCCATATGGGATATGGATTCCCCAAGCAAATGCCAACTATTCAGGTGAGAAATTGACATGACACCATTATCAGAAAGGGAAACTACTCTTGAGGGACAAAGCAAGCCTTAACAAAAGACAAATTATATGTCAATGACTGTAACATGTTTGAAATGTTGTACTTTACACGTGTGTTTCACTGAGACACTCATATAAAAATGTTGTGCTTACAAGTACAAGTAATGTATGTTGAGGGTCACTTTGCCTCTGCTGAAACAGGAAGAGAGTTCTCACAACCCCTTGGTGTGAAAGTGAAGTCTTGCACTATGTATTCAACATGCTACATCTGGTTTGGCTGATGTTTGTGTTTGTGAGGGTGGAAGGTGACTAACACAGTCATATAAAACTTTATCATGAGTTTATAACCACAATTTTCACACCTCTCGCAGGCCTAGGCAGAAAAAGCAGCAGAGAGAGGAAGAGAAGAGACACTCGCAGCTAAAGGAGGTACATCTAAGCGTTGCTCGGATGAAGATACTGAGAGAAGGAGGAAGGAAGGGTATGCTCACTTAACCACACGAAAAGTGAAGAAGATTGACCAAGTGAGAAGTATGCGAGAGAATTACAGCCTTTTTTTTAAAAAAGAAAGGGGGGACTTTTCTGCCACAATTTTAAGTTCACTTTTCACAAGAACATGTACTATAGAAAACCTCTAGCATGGTGTCCATTTTAGGACACCCTCTGGCCTAAAACCTCACACCTCAGATCCCTTCTCTAGTGAGTCATAATAAGGCCATGCCAGTCAGCTGATTCCCTGACACACATAACCTCGAGATATTGTGTACAATACTTATTCACCTAAATGGAGGGAGAGGGGAGAAGGAAGGAGGGCAAGAGCGGGAACTGTTGATGTGATTATACGGCTCAGGTTGGATCACCTGGATGCAGCTGAGCTGATCCCTGACTTCTTCTTAGGTAGGTGGATGACTACCATGGGGTTAAGATATATGACCCTTATGCCTGGTTGTGGTTGGAAGATCCTGGCAGTGAAGAAACTAAGGTGGTTGTGATGCAATATGGAAAAGACACATGATGACAAGGAATTTGTTTCAGTATTGCAGCTACCTGTTCCCGGATACGTGTGGGTATGTGTTGATCCAGAGACATGACTGTAATACTGACATAGAGACATGGGAACGGTAAAGAGGCTAAGGCCTTTTACCGGAGCGCTCACGAGGAGGCCATTGTGACACTGAACGGACCAAAATGGAATGGAGAAACTCTTGCTTGCGCCTAACATGACCCTTGACCGCAACTTATCATGGACCGCTGACTGTCCCAGATTAATTCAGACTTAATTAATAGAGTATGTATGAAAGTCATTATTATCTACATACTCCATGAGCATAAAAAAACAGTCCAACCTAAATGATTGTGTATCACAGTACATTTCAATACACAAACATGCCACTTGGCTGTACTGTATTCCCAACCTGGTTCTAAATCTGCCGCCTTCACAGAAATGCTGTTTAATGTGATTTGTAATAAAGTTCCTACCTCATTCTCTGTGCTGTACTCAAAGGTGAGGTTGCGGGGTATGGACGTCATGGCTTTGGGCACACCGAAGCTGGGGTCCAACATCTGGTCAGGGACGATGTAGGTGCAGTTGAGGGCAAAGTCGTCCTCTCGCCACTCACTCATATCTGGGGCTGTCTCCAGCTTCATCTTAATACTCTTTGTGTTGATTTTCTCTTCCCCACTGTACTTGGTTTGGCTTGGGGTGCTTTGGTATGGGGTTACTTTGGTGATACTTTGGTTCACTTGGGGGCTTGGCCCTCGTCTTTAGATACGTTGGTTAAAGCTTGAGGTCTGGAAGAGATAAAAGGGAGAGAAGGGGTCTCATTCTACTTTATCCTAGCATGAATAAAATGGAATGTTTGAATTCACTAGTGGAATTCCTTTGCCTTGCTTTTTGTTGTCACTTGTCATTGTCACTTGATAAGCTAAACACTGTACTGTGAATTGACTGAAAGTGACTTAATCCCACTGCATGATAGGGTGTTGACAATATTTGTAGTTGTCAATATAATCAATGGAGCTGCAATATATTGCAAAAAGGCAACAGAACCACTGAATGACAAAATTATCAGCAATGTAATTCTACCAAAACATCATCAAGCTAATAAGTTATTGTTCAATACCGGAACTATGAATCAAGTCAACATGCTTCATTTCACCAAAAATCTATCCAGCTTTTCCATTCAACCCAGCAGAAATGTTCAACATATTGCAAGCCCCAATATTAATCTGAATATCGCCAAGGATCATCAAATCAAATCCAAATCCTAGTCCATCGAGTAAGTGTAAACAAATCAACTCCATTTCTCAACAACTGTTGTTGACCATGAGCTATTATCCCAATCCAAACTCAATTAGACCCAAGAGGTCAAGCCCATTCAGTGCTGTTCATTCACTGTTCGTTCACTCAGCATTGACTCAAATACAAAAGTTCACAATTACTGTACTTGGTATATTGCATAAACACCTTCCTTCTAAAACAATGGATGTCATACAGGTACAAAATAGGAAGCAGTTGACAATTACTTTTAGACAATAATTTAGCTGTGGGATCATCTCCTCTTTGGTTAGGTCATCTCTCGCTTCCTCTCTTTTTCTTCTCTTCCACTATTTCCAGTGTCACTCTCTCTTTGTTTTTCCAGGAATTCCTCCCTGTAAGATCCTTTGGGTATCCGTGCTGTGCCCACTTTGCCTCTGCCACCAAAACTCCTGAGCCACCGTTGGGCCAGGCTTTTTTCCCCGTCCTCTCGTCCAATGAGAAGCTGCCGTTGGCCATGTGACTGAGAGGATTAGTTAGACGTGCGCCAATTGACACACAACTGGCGGCTTTGGACAATGGCATGAATGTACACTTGGCCGCAAGTGACCATGCACACGGGAACACACACACAAAGGAACACCCCACAGCCCACATAAGACATCTAAATGAATGAATGAATAAAGGAATAGCAGATGCTTGGTTTGGCCCTTAACGAGCAATCTGGTCTGGTGGCACAACCTCCTCAGCCCCTCTTCTTGACCTGCAACATCTTGGTCTCCTCAATCCCCCAGATCACACACACACATATTTTAAAAAAATTCATAATAAAAAAATTTAGGTGCAAAGTACCCTAAACGGTCATGGTCAAACACACATATAAACACACACAGGTATATAGACAGGTACACACACACACACTTCAAATATTTTATTTGGATTCACAATAAAGCACAGAGGTGCAAAGGATCGTCAATGGTCTTACTTTTGGAGGGTGAGTGTGAACTTGGATGGTTCTTCCAAGTTCACACACATGCAAGCGCAAACACACAAGCTGCCCTGTAACAGGAGAGAGAGAACGAGAGAGGGTCAGTACCTCAGATACTTGTCGGATGAGCTTCCCTTTCGTTTCAGTCTACTTTGAACAAATTACCCCTGTTTAGAGAGTTAGGTCCCCTGATAGCCAGGACAGGAAAACAACATATGAAAGATTAAAAGAAAACGGAATCTGAATTTTCCAAGACAGTGCGCCTGTGACATCACAGTGCTGTTATCAAACATCCATCGTACCGTGAAATGACTGTATATTGTTGTAAGATCTTACTGGATAATTGGAAGGGGGGAGTTCATGTAAAATTCCATGCCTCTTTTTACTGTAAAACCTTGAATGAGTAGGTGTGTCCAAACTTTTGACTGGTAGTGTACATGTTGAAATATTATTTAAATAGTTGTTTATTTATATACTTTGGATTATAAGAAGGACATTCTCTATTTTATTTTATGAATCTTATGCGTACATGTGTTGTGTTGGGGTATAGGGCGTGTGCATATTATGTGCATATATTTCTAAAGCATTTACCTGCTTGCGTTGGGTAGCATTTAGTTGACTTCACTATATAGTATAAAGTATATTTAGGTATGTTTCTTTGTCCTGCATGTCACTGTGTGTCTGTCTGTCTGTTTGTCTGTCTAGCACCCCCACCCCCTCCCCTGTCCTTAACTTGCCAAGTGAAACGGTAGCTAAATTGGCTGCCATATGGCACAACTTCTATTCCAGGAGTGCTGGGCGCTTCACTGTTGCGTGTGTATGAGGGGGGGGGGGGGGAGGAAGGGAGCAGCAGAGTTGCCTACCTCCTAGGAAACTGGGCTTGGGGAAGGAGGGAGGGAGGAAGGGAGGAAGCTGTGGTAGACTAGACTAAAAGTATAAGTGGAGAAGATCTGAGGTCAGATTTAGAAGGACACTGTCTGAGACATGCTGGAAAATAAGTTACAGTAATGTGACCTGAAATGTACAATGGGCAACAGTTTGAAACAGGTGAAAGGCAACAGTTTAAAAACCATACAGTACCACTTATGTGCCATTTAAAGCTAGAAGGATGTTTCACTTGTTAGATAATTTGCTCTTGACTAACAGTTGGCGATAATACAAATCCAGCATCTTACTGGACTTACAAGGTTGTGTTTAACAGAGACAAAAGATGCACAATGGAGAGTAGCCTCTTTATCTGCTTTGGTAAAACGTTGAAATGGAATTCATCACGACTGAACTTGTTGTACAGTAAAGTTTAGGGGACTATGGGGTAGGCATAGGGTGCACCTGCCCCCAGCCCAGACGTTCCAAATGGCAATTAACGTTTAACTCTTAAATGAATCCCATTCATTATCCATCTAACCCCTAACCTCCTCCAAAACTAGTCCCCCACCCCACCAACCTAACCCATGCCCCCGTTCACCCCCTCTCACCGTCTCAACTCTAACCATACAGGGCCTCCAGAAGGGCCACAGCAGGGGGGCAATTTCAGCCACGGGTCACTAAAGTGCCTCACCCCGACCCCCACTTCCAAAATGATAAGCACTTATACACACTCAATGAGACACACACTGTTGCGTAAATCACACAAAGAACTCACAGATACAGAACAGTACACACATACCAAAATACACCCACAGACACAGATAATGCTTTAGCTGAACTAGAGGCAGCATGTCAGCACAGTTAACATGTAGGATTACTTGGAAAATGAGAAACATTGTCCATTCTCTCCTCTTTCATCTCTCCCTTTGTGTTTATAGGTTCTTCACTTTTTCACTCGTTCTCTCCATTCGATTTATCAGATTACTTTATCAGTGTGGTGGCCTCCTGCCAACACACCAGCATAACAACATACACTGAGTGTACAAAACATTAGGAATACCTGCTCTTTCCATGACATAGACTGACCAGGTGAATCCAGGTGAAAGCTATTATCCCTTATTAATGTCACTTGTTAAATTCACTTTAATCAGTGTAGATGAAGTGGAGGAGACAGGTTTAAGAAGGACGTTTAAGTCTTGAGACAATTGAAACATGGATTGTGTATGTGTGTCATTCACAGGGTAAATGGGCAAAACTAAGGTTTGAGTGTGTCAAGAACTGCAACGCTGCTGGGTTTTTCACACTCAACAGTTTCCTGTTTGTATCAAGAATGGTCCACCACCCAAAGGACATCCAGCCAACTTGACACAACTGTGGGGTGCAACCTAATATTAGGAAGGTGTTCCTAATGTTTTGTACACTCACTGTAGTCTTAAGATACCATTTTCTAACATACTTCATGAGTCAATACTAATGGAATAAACAACCTTTTAGACTGCATGGGGAATGATGTCATGTTTAAATCATGTCAAAAATCTTTCAGGTGAATTTGCTTGTTGACACACTGTGTAACACTTGACTTGATTCAGCAGATGACATTAGATGGGCAGTACTCGTAACATGGCAAAGACTCATAGGGATTGATTAGTTGCTACAATAAACAATTAGGTAGTTCCTAATACTGTGTAGGTGGTTTTCTTCTCTGTAAGAATGAAAGTGAAGTGAACTAGTGATGACATGAGAGGTTATGACTGTCATATTTTTGGGGAGATGGTCATGGGCTATACTAAAAGAAACCAAACGGGCTATCATCATAAGTCTCTGCACCAACCAGTCATGAGTACATTAGTAAACAGATAAATGGGCAAATGAGAACCCTGTCTAAAATATACCCCTCTTCAATGCCCCCTCATGTTCCCCTACTTCCCTCTCTCAATCCCTATTCCTCTATTTATTTATTTTTTTTTCCAGGAAAATGAGCTCTCTGTCATTTCCCATACTGTACACACCTCTTTCCACCACTTTTTTATATTCAAAACCCTTGACTTTTTCCACGTTTTGTTACATTACAGCCTTATTCTAAAATGGATTAAATAGTTTTTTTCCCTCATCAATCTACACACAATATCCCATAATGACAAATCAAAAACAGGTTTCTATACCTTTTTGCAAATGTATTACAAATAAAAAACAGAAATATCACATTTACATAAGTATTCAGACCCTTTACTCAGTACTTTGGCAACAATTACAGCCTTGAATCTTCTTGGGTATGACGCTACAAGCTTGGCCCACCTGTATTTGGGGAGTTTATCCCATTCTTCTCTACAGATCCTCTCATGCTCTGTCAGGTTGGATGGGGAGCGTCGCTGCACAGCTATTTTCAGGTCTCTCCAGAGATGTTCAATCGGGTTCAAGTCCGGGCCACTCAAGGACATTCAGAGACTTGTCCCGAAGCCACTCCTGCGTTGTCTTGGCTGTGTGGTTAGGATCGTTGTCCTGTTGGAAGGTGAACCTTCGCCCTATTCTGAGGTC